AAGGCCATCAGTAATAACCTATTGTGTCAGAGATAAACCGCTTACCAGATGCTGAAGGTGAATAAAAGTACAGTTTGTAGTAAGCATCAAAGTGTATAAAAACGGTAAAAATCAATATAGTAACAGTAATATTAATAGTGACAGGACTTCGTAGACGCCCAACTTCGAGATCAACAGGCCGGATTTCGCAAAGATCGATCGTGTATCGACCAAAGTGCTACATTACGGATCATTGTAGAACAATCAAGTCAAGGGAACGCACCGCTCGACATCAGCTTCATCGACTACGAGAAAGCAGTCGATAGCGTGGATAGGAAAACACTGTGGAGGCTTCTTCGACACTATACTCATATCCATAGTCTGTAAAACATTTCAAGTACATCTTGCTGGGCAGTGGTTACCAGAATTTTCAATCGAATATCTCTAACTATTTAGCATTATTCGATAGCGTGGATAGGAAAACACTGTGGAGGCTTCTTCGAGACTACGGTGTGCCTGAGAAGATAGTTAATATCATACGGAATTCTTATGATGGATTCAACTGCAAAATCGTACACGAAGGACAGCTAACAGACTCTTTTGAGGTGAAGACCGGTGTCAGGCAAGGTTGCTTACTCTCATCCCTTTCTCTTTCTCCTGGTCATCGACTGGATTATGAAAACGTCGACGTCTGGAGGGAAGCACGGTATCGACTGGACAGTTAGGACGCAGCTGGACGATCTGGACTTCGCAGATGACCTAGCTCTTCTATTGCACACTCAAAAACAAATGCAAGAGAAGACGACCAGTGTAGCGGCAGCCTCTGCAGCAGTAGGTCTCAATATTCATAGAGGAAAAAGCAAAATTCTCCGATGCAACACAACATGCACCAAACAAATCACTCTTGATGGAGATGCCTTGGAGGACGTTAAAACCTTTACATATCTGGGCAGCATCATCGACAATCAAGGTGGATGTGATGTGATGACACGGATTGGAAAAGCAAGGACAGAATTTCTACAATTGAAAAATATCTGGAACTCCAAACAACTTTCAACCAAAACCAAAATCAGCATTTTCAATACAAATGTCAACACAATTCTACTGTATGGAGCGGAAACTTGCAAAACTACCAAAGCCATCATCTATAAGACGCAAGTGTTTATTAACAGTTGTCTACGCAAAATACTTCGGATTCGTTGGTCAGACACTATCAGCAACAACTTACTTTGGGAGAGAACAAACCAGATTCCAGTGGAGGAGGGAATCAGGAAGAAGCGGTGGGAGTGGATAGGACACATTACGAAAAGCGCTCACATGGAATCCTTAAGGCAAAAGGAAAAGAGGAAGGCCAAGGAACATATGACGCCGAGAAATAGAGGAAGACATGAGAAGAATGAACAAGGGAAGCGCAGGACAGAGTTGGTTGGAGAAAACTGTTGGGCGGCCTATGCTCCATTGGGGGTAACAGGTGTAAGTAAGTAAGTAAGTAATATTAATAGTAAATAATAACGATAATTAGTGATGAGAAATACACTATAATAATAATAAAAAGAACAGTTTTTTTTTGTACACTTTCTCTTACATAACCATATATTCCAGTTCGATATAATATAGGATTTGCTAATAAAGTTTTCTCATCTAATGGATTATCCCAAATGCCCATTATGAATGGTGGTAAACCAGTCATTGTAACACTAAATAAAATTTGTGATAATTGATCAATTGCATTACTACCCGAAAAACCATTGAACATTTGAAACCAAAATAATAGGAATATATAAATCTACGGCGAAAAAAAAAGAAATAAACAATCTGATTACTACTTAAATTAATAGAGAGTAGTATGATTTTTTATTTGTAATATATTTATAGAAAATGTAGAAGAGAAAATAAACAGTACGAAAAGTAGAACTAACTGTTAAGGCGCTTGGTTTAATGAATACTTCCAGGTTTCTAATGGTGATCTAATATTGATCAACTGATGGTTTAAAAGTAACTCAACAATCTATACAACACTTTGATGAAAATTATCATGTGCTCACTAGTGATTATCTTAGTGAGGAAATTTCTCCACGTTTTAGTGAGAAGTCATGACCAGTGGAGTTCAACCATGTTCTGGTGTGAAGCAGCGCTCACCAGAGACATTGGATTGAAAGAAATTAATCATTAACTCCATTCAATGCTGGCTCAGTTGTCCATAGGTTTCTGAATTATGGGTGACCGAGTTTATACTACCACTGGGTTAAATACTCACTACACTGAGACTAGAACATGTTCAGCTGAATACATAATTGATTCACGGAGAAAATTGAGAACCAGACTAAGTGATAGATAATATCTCATTCCACATAAGTAATCACGCTCAATGAGTTCGAGTCCCGGAATGATGCCAACTCAGGAATGAAGGTATGTTCAGGCAACAGGTTTCAAAGATGACCTGGCTTCCACTGCTAACCACAGTTATTCTATTATCTACATAGTAAATAGCTTAATTGAAAATTCGCGAACCTCCTAATTAGTTGTGCGTCTTTTACAGCGAAAATATCATATCATTAAAGAGTTTCGTCAAAAATATTATCATATGAAATCATGAATCGATCATTGTTGGAACACCATTCGAAATTTAGAAGCTCTGGAGGGCTGTTTCCTCCTAGTATATGACTAATTAGCAGTGCGTATCCAAGACCTCCGCATGCGAGAATAAAACCCAAAACCTTCGATCTCGTGCGCGTGAATACTTAACCTTTTTACTGCTGAGAGTCTAATAATGAAAATTATCATTTGGTCACTAGTGACTAGCTCCATGAGGAAATCTCTTCAAGTTCTTAGTAAGAAGTTCAATCCCGTCGTCGAGTGTGAAGCATGACCCACCGAAGACAATGAATAAGGTTGCTCAAGAACACAGATTGATCGCAGATGGAAATTAACACCGCTGAATGCTGGTACACTGGTCTAAAGGGTCCGCGTGCGAGACCGAGTCCCACAAGCCGAGGTCATGGATCCGCACAGCTGATGAGTACCATACTAGGTGGACGAAACATTCATCCAGTGCTTCTATCTTTCTATTGGTCAACCTAACATTGATCGATTCATGATTGAATCAAATGATCATCATTTATTTATCTTAATCACTTACTGCATCTTTATAAAATAAATATAGTGAAGTATGTGCAAGTTTATCATAACAACAATGCCCATGGACAAGTAATAATTGTTTTAAGAATTGAAATCGACTAATAGCAAAATCCGATGCCATAACAGCTTGCATGCCTTCTTCACCACTATTTATACCAATGCCAACATTAGCTACTTGTATCATATTCACATCATTAGCACCATCACCAATAGCTAAAGTTTGAACATTTAATTCATCTTTAATTAAACAAACTATTGCGGCCTTTTTTGAAATGGAAATGAAAATAAAAAAATGGAACAAAAGGGGAATAAAAGTAAACATTTCTAGTATAATTAAACTTTATCTTAAATGATTATTAAATCACTACTGGATTGAAATTTCTCATGATGAATATAACTCTATTTGTAAAGGTGTATAGACCACACATGTTCACACAACGACCAGTCCTGGAACATAGACACACACACATTTAGACGTCCGACAATAGTTGTGTTACTGGACTTAAAAGCGGCATTTGGACTCTGTGGATCGTGAGGTTCTGTGGCAGTGTCTGTCATTGAAAGGTGTACCAAAGAAGTACATTTACCTTATACTGGAACTCTACTCGAACACCATTGGTCGAGTGAGAGCTTATGGCGATCTGTCAACGGAATTCTTGACTTCAAGTGGTGTCCGTCAGGGGTGTCCACTCTCTCCATTCTTGTTTAACTTTGTCGTAGACATCCTCTTAGAGTTAACATTAAGCTCGTCAGATTTTTCAGCGATTGAACTTCTACAAGGAAAATCGCTTATTGACCTAGAAAATGCCGATGACATAGTTCTATTTGGTGAAGACGCTGACAAAATGCAGAGTCTTCTGACTACTCTAAGCAACAATGCAGGCATATTCGGGATGCGGTTCTCATCCACGAAATGCAAAATGTTGCTTAAAGATTGAGTTGCATCGGCACCTGAACTAGTGATGGGGAGTGAAGTAGTTGAGCGTGTTGATCACTTCACTTATATGGGGAGTCTCATCAGCGCTGATACCCTGGTGACTGACGAAATAACAGCGCGGATACAGAAAGCTCGATTTTCTTTTGCCAATTTACGCCGTTTATAGTGTAGGCGAGATATCCGCTTGCTAACCAAAGGACGGGTGTACTGCGCAGCAGTTCGCTCCGTTCTCCTATATGGATGTGAAACATGGCCGTTAAGAGTAGAAGATGTTCGTAGGTTACTAGTATTCGATCATAGATGTTTAAGAAGCATTTCTCGTTTATCATGGGACAACCGAGTAAGCAATGCTGTCGTTAGGAAACGAGTACTAGGTAAGGATGGCAAATCAATAGATGAAGTAGTGAAGCTTCATCAGTTGAGGTGGTTGGGACATGTGTTACGTATGCCTAACCACCGACTGCCTCGACGAGCTATGTTTTGTGTTGTAGGAGTAGGTTGGAAGAACGGTAGGGCGGCCAGACCAAAACATGGCACAAATCCATGAAGTCACTGACAAGTGGACTGAGTCATGTTGGTAGATGTAGACTACCTGGTTGGGGTCCGCGAGATGATAATAATCGATGGTTAGAGACCCTGAATTAGCATGGCTCAAAACCGTTTGTAATGGCGCAAGTGCATCCATTCGTTGTGCTCTCTTAAATCCTAATCTTCTGGAATCGTCAGCACCACTACATTTGTCTTTCTAACCTTATCTCACTGAATTATACTTCTTGAATAATATATTCAAACCCTTGTCTTCTTCATTACCATTAATACCTCTACTATCTTTATCACAATGGGATTTGATTTGATATTTGCGTCTCTGTGCTAATGTGGTTATGGCAACATGAACTTATGTACATACGTATGAAGTTCTACGTTGCAGTTGACTGACTGACTGACTGATTTGTAAAGATTGAGATAATGGCTAGTAGTGAGATCCAGAATGTGAATTTCATCCTATTTGGAACAAATGTTTCTGATAAATTTTCAATAATTTTCTGTTAAAAAATAATTTTAAATAAGAAGTCGTGACCGTGTCGGTTGTAGGCAGTAACTACCAAAGACAATGAGTAAGGTTGTGTCAAATCCTTAAATTAATCAGAGTTAGACATGAATATCGTTGGGTACAGGTCCAGTGGTCTAGATGTTAAGCATTCGCGCGTCAGACAGAAGGTCTCGGGTCTGATTCTCGAGAGCAGCGGTTGCGAATGCGCACTGCTGAAGAATCCCATGTTAGAATGAAACGACCATCCGGTGCTTCCAGGTTTCTAATGGTAGCCTAAAAATGATGTAGGTAAGTTGACAAAATTAAAACCGAACTTTCTGAACCTGTGCCAAGATTTCGTCAAACATCAAGCCGCCACTCCTGAAATTTATGGAGAGGTCGATGCGCTTTACCACTCACTTCACTTTCTATCATTCTTAGTTCAGATGTTGATGTAGACCAGTTCAGAAGCAACATTTGTATTCACAGAGAGAATTCTATTTCAAAGCTGCTAGAATTGTTATTCTAGGAGGTCGGAAGATTATATTCGATCAGCGTCTCCGCTAAACACAACTATCATACATGTGTATTCGGATTTAACGAGTGAATCTATTGCTCGAAAATCTATTCCTGAGATATTAGACGATGAGAGCATCATCTTTTAAAGCATCTCTATGGCAAAGTCAAATAACAATGGATATTGTGAACAAGTCTGAAGTCATCATGACAGTACACAGTAACATCTGGCTCAGGTAAAACTTGTGAAAATTCGGTGTACTGTTTCCTAGTTATTACTTTCAATGAAATTGTCATAAAACATGTCGACCTACACAATCAAGGAACTCCGCCAGTAGAACCTTCGAGGCTACTGCCGGTCCCAAGCCCGGATAAAGGAGGAGGGTTGGACATGGGGTTGGCGACCCCATTCCGTCAAAAACTAACTTGCCAAAAAACGCTAACCAGAAAAAATAATTCAAACCATTTTAACTCTGCCCTGGGAGTTGGAAGAAGAATTATGACGTCGCGTGATGAAAGCCGAGTTCCCTCGGAAGTCACGAGGCCGATGCCTCTTCTGACAACCAGAGCAACCATTCTTTTAGCTACATGGAACGTTCGTACATTGTGGGAGACTGGAAGACTATTTCAAGTTGCGGCAGAAATGAAAAGATACAACCTCGAGGTGCTCGGCATCACTGAAACGCATTGGACACAGGTAGGACAACTGAAACTTGCTTCAGGGGAACTGCTGTTATACTCTGGTCATGAAGAGGAAAATGCTTCACATACACAAGGAGTTGCATTGATGCTGTCCAAACATGCACAAAAGGCACTGATAGGATGGGAATCTCATGGACCCAGGATCATTAAAGCATCCTTCAAAACAAAGAAAGCGGATATTACAATGAACGTCATCCAATGTTATGCACCTACCAATGACTACAATGACGACGTTAAAGATCAATTATACGAAAGGCTGAAGTCAATCGTCGACAGATGCTCAGCAAAGGATTTGACCATTCTTATGGGAGACCTGAATGCCAAGGTTGGAATGGACAACACTGGATATGAAGACATCATGGGACAACATGGACTGGGAGAAAGGAACGAAAATGGTGAGAGATTTGCAAACCTATGTGCCTTCAACAAACTGGTCATCGGTGGCACAATATTCCCGCACAAACGAATACACAAAACCACATGGATTTCACCGGACCACACTACTCAAAACCAGATTGATCATATCTGTATCAACAAAACGTTCAGAAGGACTATGGAGGATGTGAGAACCAGGAGAGGAGCTGATATAGCTTCAGATCACCATTTGCTGGTCGCCAAAATGAAACTGAAGCTAAAGAAGCACTGGACAACGGGGCAGACAACATCACACAAGTTTAATACGGCCTTTCTTCGAGATACTGTAAAGCTCAACGAATTCAGGATAGCCCTCACCAATAGGTTCCAGGCCTTTCAGGATCTACACGATGGAGAGGACGCAACATTGGAGAACAATTGGAAAGGGATCAAATAGGCAATCACTTCAACATGTCACGAAGTTCTGGGTCACAAGAAGTACCATCACAAGGAATGGATCTCTGTTGATACTCTTGCAAAAATTGAAGAAAGGAGGAACAAGAAGGCAGCAGTGAATGTCAGCCGAACAAGAGCAGAGAAAGTTACCGGATAAGCTGCATACACAGAAGCAAACAGGGAAGTAAAGAAGAGCATCAGAGCTGACAAACGAAAATATGTGGAAGATCTAGCAATGACGGCGGAAAAGGCTGCAAGAGAAGGAAACTTGGGACAATTGTACGAAACAATAAAGAAGCTGGCCGGGAACTATCGTAAACCAGAACGACCAGTGAAAAGCAAGGAAGGCAAAGTAATCA